TCTATAAATCAAAATAAAGGATATTTTATTGAGTTTTTATTGTGTATAAGGTAATTTCGCATAGCCATTTTAGGGCTTACCATGTTCACTTACCATTTTAGGACTAAAAGGGGGTTTCAGAGTAGTTCAGTTAAACCGCCTTATGTTTATGCATGGAGAAGCAAAGATCCAGAAAGGTTCCTCATAGCAGGATATAGGCATGTTAAGGACACACGACATTCAGAACCCAGAACTCAGGGCTCCTGACATGCAATTCACTTTCTTCTCACGTAACCAGCAGAAAGGACCAAGGGCCTGTTGGGCTGCCTGCCTGCTTAGTAGGCTCATTCCTCCTTTCACTCCCCTTTCTTTATAAGAAAAAATCTGGGATTATTAGATGATGGAAGGAGAGAATACAGTGGAGGGAGACAATAGAAACCAACTTTTATGTAACATTTAAAGAAGCAGTTGATTGTAGCATTTGAATACTTCAGTTGGTAAGCTTGGACATGAGCAGTGAGACCTGATTTTTGTTTTGTTGAAGAGAGAAAAAGTGTATCAAGAATAATGAATAGGCGTGAACTGATTCATTAAGTATGAAATTTGTAACAGGGTAACTTTGACACTCATAAGTCATTTATGATTCTTTAACTCTGTAAGTCTGCAGCCCTGTGAATTTTGGACAAAAATGCATCCCTATGTTTAGGGACACTGGGTGAAATATTTTCAGAAAATGAGGTATTTCAGTGGAAATTCTTGCCTAATATGTCATCACTTTGAAAATGATTAAAGAAAATGGGGTCTCCCCCAGCAAAGGCAGGTACTTTGACTTGTCAAATTTAAGTTGGACGTTTTCTCTTAGTTCAGAACTGCCACAGAATGAGCCCTTTCATGTCCTCAATAATACCAAACCAATGCAATCCATCTGTTCTGCTAAATTATTTCTAGTTCCCTAACCAAAGGCACTGCTTTTTCATGCATTTTATCATGATTTTATGCCCTTTATTATATTTTACAAAAGGTTCTGATTCCTCCAGGGCCAATGAGAACTGATTAGGACACTGGCCTCAATCCAGGCTTTGAACACAAGAGGGGAAGGAATAGAACTGTTTCCTTTTTTCCCTGCTCCTTGGCATTAAAAAAAAAATGAATCTATACCGTGTGTGTGCTCTGTGTGTGGGTGGGTGTGGGTAGGCTGCATTTTATCCTGTCACAGTATGACTTTGTAGATCATGTTCAGAACATTCCTTCTATAATCAGGTTGCATTAACAGGCTTTAATTCAGAAGGACTATTTCTTTAGGAAGGAGCCATGGTGTATTGTGGGACTCAATGATATGGTCATTTTAAACAACTTCAGTCAAACTTCAAACCTGAATGCAGACTGTTTGGGGCTCTGATCTAAGTAAGATCATATCCTCAGGTGCATAGCACTGAGTGGGCACTCGGGGCACATTAGTTCCTTTCCTACTGTCAGAAGAAGAAACTGTGCAAGTCACAGAGAATGAAAATATAGTACTGAATACATCGTCCATCACAGGGTTTCTTTAATAAGAAGATGAAAGTAGAGCTATAAGCTTGCTTTTTTAGACCAATATTGGCAAGGTGTTTAAGACCTTTATTTGGATCTCAAGTTGGAAGTACCCAGATGAACACTGTGCCTTACATTATGTACATTGAGTGTCCAAATTTACTCACAATTCTCAAAAATTCTTTTGGTCAGAATCACAGATGACTTTAGATAGATATCCTGCAGACTGAATATCTCTGAGAACGGAACTCAATATCACCCTAAACTACGATTATCAGAGCACTTTGTCCTGTTTTGTGCCTCATTATGCTATTGACCTTTGACTCGAGAGCATCATATGAGAAAACTGAAGGAATAAGGGGTACACAGGAAATAGAAAATAGGACAGGATTAAACAAAAAGCTCTATATTTAAGCACAGGCACGTAACTTAATGAATTACTGATTATAATACTGGAAAATGAAAGCTATTGGGGACCTCAGTTTGAGAGGAAACGTTTAATGTGACAAATTTGAGACATCTAGTAGGAGTGAGGCCGAACTACTCCAGGAGACCCTATGTGTTAAGAAGGAAGGAAAATTGTTGCTGTTTCACAAGTTTTAACTTAGTCATCCACGGAGTTCCCATAGCAGTGCCCCTGTGAGATATAAACCTCGAAACATGCTCTCTCCAGATCCTTTCTCCAGCTAGAAACATTTTTCATGTTGAATTGGTTTTCACTGCTGTCCTTCTGTAGAAACATGTACACCCTGCTTGTGGTCTTGTTCCCCAGCAGCCATAGAAGCAGAAAGTGTGAAGAATTAGTACTTATATTTAATTATTTTGTGAGAAACATATTCTGTAATAGTAAAAAGAGCCAGTGTCAATTACTTCCTGGGAGTCAAAGAGAAGTAGAGCTAGGAGTTGGGAGGGGGAGGAGAAAGGGGAAAACGTGCACTTTGTTCCATTTTAATAGTGACGAGGAGAAAATTGGGAGGGGATACTCTTAGAATAAGTAAAAGCTAAGTGGGCTGGACCAGATGCTCCCCCTCTTACCGTCAGTTAACTGATGGTACACAAGGGATCACTGAGACCCAGCAGATGTCCTCTTAAGATTTATCAGCACTTGAGCTACTGTCAATAATTGAATTTTGTTAGCAGATTATTTTTCAAATGTGTCATTGAGCATTCAGCCTGAATACTAGTGGGGCTATGGGAGAATAAGAAAGGAGTTGGGGCAAGCATTGGAATGTATGGTATGTAAAAATAAATGGCTAGTCTGTGAAAACATAAAGATATATTTATTATTAATGTTATTTCATATGATATCAGGAGCAAAATATCTTTAGAGAAAAGGGAAAAAATTGATAAAGCTTTATGACACTAGTCTACATGTGGGTCCGATTGTTAGCTATGGAGCTGGCTGCATCGGAGACGTAGCTGTTTGTATCAGCATATAACATGTTAGTGGCTATGAATTTCATAGACTCACAGAAATGAGAGATGGAAGCCCTGTTATTTCATGGTGTTCATTATTCTGTCAGACCGGGACTGGTTGCCACAGTCTGGTTTCCAGTCTGATGTTGCTCATTCCAATTTTAGATGACTCAGACCATGGAGTTACCACTATTTACCTTGGGGGATTTTCCACCAGCTGAAATCTCACAATTAAAATGGTTCCCTTTAATAGTGACTTTGAACTTTCTCTTTCTCATTTTATCTCATTGCTTGTCATTCTGCTTCTTTCGTTGTTCTGGTCTTCCATAAATGTTTCCAAATTCAGTGTTTACCATCAAGCCACCTAAGTCAGTAACTGGTTTGTTTATTGACCAGAGCAATGGCTGACCAGATAGCCGTCATTAAATTTGCCTTTGTCTTCAGCATTACCTACCTGGTTTAATTTCAACATTCAACACCTACCTGGGGTAATTTCTCAAAAACATATTTTTATTTTTCTAAAAAATGTAAATAGGGTGTCAAAAACAGGGAACTTCAATGCTGTGACAAAGCAAATTCTCTAAGTGTTTGTTTATTCAGCACATAGTGGCACAGTGTTGAGAAGTTTCTGTTTTACATCACTCCTGTTGCCTTCCTGTTACCCCTCAGGTCGCCAGCTATTCCTCTCTCACTGTGACATGATGATTTATTTTCAATGACAAATACCTCTACCTAGCAAACCTCTAGGAAGCGTCAGTGTATTGAGGTTTTCCCTGCCCGCCCCCTCAGTGAACCACACAGCCACAGCCACATCACCTTAAACTAGGGAGGCTGAATATGGAATTGTCTTGGTTTTGAGAGAGGTGTTGTTGTCACCTGATGTTTCCATGTCAGCTGGTGATTCATGGTCAGGAACATGGGAGGACAGCATTATCTGAATAGATGTTCTTTGAATTTCACTGAAATTCTCTGCTTACATATTAACTTACAAGTGTCTTGTTGTGAAACATATTTTAAATGAAATATATAATGCTATCTGGGTAATTTTAGGAAGCATAGTAATTTTAAAAAGCAAGGCTAATTAACTTTGTCCACCAGCATGATGTTTATTGGGCTCAAAGATGTGCCAACTAAGAAATGGGACCAGGAAGAAAGCTTTGTCCATTTGACTGACTGACTGAGGTTTAACTTAATGTACAGTTTTGTCTGTGTTGAAGGACCATTCTTGGTTAGTTGAAGTGGAAGTTTCTGCCTAGCATGGGTGTAAAAATATTGACTGAGTTTAGTGTGCCTCAAACTCTCTCTGATTAAACAACAGTTATTGTTTTTGTGTAATTTCCACAGACCAATGCTTTTATAAAAGCATGAAAAATGAAATACTGCAATAGTGGAATAAAAATTGAAGACATGTAAGGTTATATTTAGATTCAACAGACACAAAAATACTCTGTCAAATTACTATAGAAGTTTCTAAATATTTTCTCTCAATTTCTGTCCAGACCTCATCACAGACCACTCACAAACAGTTCCTGAACTGTCATCTGTCATGTAGAATGTACTTTGAGTAGCATTGGTCTAGGTGAACATTACTGTGAGGTACCCAACATGAAGTGATCAGCATATTTGTAATAATCAAATACATTAAAATGTGTTGGTACTTACTTATATCCTTTAAGAAACAATAAGGTATTTGTTTCATCAACTTCTTCTGGTGAATGTAAAGTAAGATTTTGATCAATTTACTTCTCAGGTAAACAGTAGCTCCCGTTAGTTAAGTTATACTTTCACAAAGGAGTTAACTATTTTTTGTTGTTGTTGTTAGTTATCTTTTATAGGCCAAAGAAGAATATACTTTATGTAAGTGGACTGTTCAGGCATGAGCAATCCACTGGGTCTGAACCTTGCATACACTCATTTTTCAGATATTATTATGGTACTTCACTAAGCACATCAGTGTCACATTCCTACAGGATGAAACTCAGCCCATTATTAATCATCTTAAATGTGATTTGGGGTCTTATTTTCTTCTAAATGTTGTCAGTGGAATACTGTAGGCTTCTCCTGTTTTCTTTCAGCGAATTCAAGGTCGAAAAGCCAGCCTGGAGGAAATACAGCTTGTTCATTCTGAACATCACTCACTATTATATGGCACCAACCCCCTGGACGGACAGAAGCTGGACCCCAGGACACTTCTAGGTCTGTATGAGCCTCCATTCTACTGAGAACAGCACATTCCAGCACTATCATTAGTCAGTGCTGGTGTCAGTTCAAAATACTTGGCAAGCTGTGTGACAGAAAATCAGCTTTTCCAACATCATTGCTCTGTGGAATGAGTAGTTTGCAATAGAAGCCAGTATGGATTAAGATTTCTACATTAGAAAAAATGAGAGTGCAAGTTTCATGATGTTTGCTTTCAAATTACTCTGTATTTCAATAGTGTTTTTTCATAGTGTTTTAGCTTTCAGGAATAAATGTTGCGTTTGCTTACATTTTTAAGCTTTAAAGAAAGGTTTTTACATTCTTTATGCAAATTTATCTTCATCTTTCACATTTCTTTTGTTCCTTTTGGTTCTGTTTTCTATGACCCTAACAAACAAAAGGCATAATACAACTTATGTTAGGTGAAAAGTCCATATTCCTATGCATAGAACACTATTTTATAGTAAGATTGCAGTTTAAAATCTTAATGTAGTCTATTTAATGCATATTTTAACTATGAAATTAAATAGTAAAATAGATGGGAGACATAGAAAACCAATAAGCATAATTTTTAGTTAATGTATGATTTTTTCAAAATTTTACTATCAGATTTTAAAATAAAATTTATGCTTCACAACTTCATATAAATTTTATATAAGTGATAGAAACAACAGATTTTGAAGAAAGTTCATGACAAAACCTTATTTTAGCTAAGACAATTATATTAACCAAGTTTATTAATGATCTTTTATGACGAAATAACAATATATGTGACACGGCAATGTATGCCAGAAGGATTAGATTTTAAGTGTTTTAACTAAAAAGGCGTTTTAGGACGTTTCCTTGGCCCTTTCTTTCAAACAAACCTGTGTGAGTTTCATATTATTGGACTCTTTCACCCAATTCAGTATTACTTCGAAATGGTTTTATGTTAACTAATCTTAAACAATTCAACAGCAAGTGCATGACACGTAGTAGGCAGGCATCTTGGAAAGCAATTATAAGGGGAAATTAACAGTTACCAGTTACAATACTAAAAGTCTTCCCTTTTAAAACAAGTGGCAGACATCGCTAAACTTACAAAGTAAAGGCATATGTTTGAATGGGTGCATGTGCACGCGTGAAGGTGGCAAGACATCAACAGAAAGGGGAGCACAGAAAGATCACTCAACTTTTAGAAAACGTATTATGAAACTTTGATGATAAAAAACAATTTATAGTAGGATTAAAGTTATTTGTTAATATAAAGGTAAATGAGTCAATCTAAACATATATACTCAATTTTTTTAAATTCTTTCTGTTAAAGGTATCAATCTCTGCACATGCAGATCTTTAAATAAAGTACTTATTTTGCTATGCATACTGTATATTAAGTGTCGTTACATTGACATGAATTAATCATCTCACTCAGTTTATCACAATGATGAAGTAAACCAGACAGTAACTTCCATGGTCTTCTGAAAATGAAATATTCATGCATTTTAAAGATAGGAAGCTATGTCCATTTTGATTTTTTGGTTTAATTAAGAGAAAACAAGTAGAACTCCCCTCCACCCCATTTTTTTTAAACTGTTATCTCAAACTGTAAATCAGCCTAGGTATAGTACTAGGTACTTTGGATTTAGTTAGGGTAAATTTACACATAGGTGTTTGAGAGATGTTCCAAAAACCTAGTTGTTCCACATTTTAAGAGTAAAGACATATTTGTAAAAGAAATGAAGTTTAAACTTTGGCAACTCCAAACTGCTTTACTTATGAAACATGGCAATACCACTGTTTTTTAATGAAATTTGACACTTTTGAACAAAACTAATTTTCTCAGAATAATCGGTATATATATCATTTTAAAATGTAATGATTTAGCAAAGAATATATATATTCATATATTCTCGTTCTCATATATAATTTAGAACTTGGACAAAGGTCCTTTTCAAGTATGTATGCTTGAAAACACCCAAGTACGAATAATTTAATTGTCATAGTTTTCATCCAGATAAATTGGCCATTTATCTCATTAGTTTTGCATATTTAATGTGGGATAAAATTCATGCAGTTGATGATTTTAGAGTTAACTTTAGATACATACACATGTGGATTTTCAAAGTCACCTCTGAGGGATCAGGGCAACAGTGTCAACACAGTGTGCAGGTTACATGTGCAAAGGTAAACAGGGATGATGCATTGCTAGGTCTTGATATCAAGCACCAAATTCAACTTTGATGACACTTCTGAACTGTATTAATTTCTCCCATGAATCCAGAAAATTGGCTGATTTTCTTTAATTCAGGTTCTGAGTGAATAATCCCGTTCTTTTAAAAGTTCACTTTTTATATTTTTTTGATCTTTATGAAATTTGAATTCTTGTGGCCTGTTTTTTATTTATACCTAAAAGACCAGATTGAAGCTGCCATGTATGAATGTATAAAAGTTCATAACCATCAAGATATTTTCTCTCTCTCTAGCCTTTTCTTTTACCCCTATACATTCTCTTTTTCCTCTAGTCCTTCCCAACACAGATGTTGGGGTGGGGGTGGGGTTTGTCCGTATGCACACACAGTGAATTGAAAATCATTCAATTGTATGAATTCTCTGAGTTAAATTGATACCACTACTTTTGATAGTTATGTTTTGGAGTTGGAAGGATTTAAATAAAAGTTCATTATGACAGAATCCATCAGTCTTTGTACCTTGAAAGACATCTATACCTTATAAAATAATTATATTTGAAAATAGGCACCATTTATCTCTTTAAATACTCCAGACCCTGTAAGGTGACACTTTTAAAACATTCTCTCCAATGATTTCTGGTGAGAGTTTTTCCTTAGCATTAATATTCCTGTCATTTTTACTACCAGTTTTCATTATCTTGTGGTTAGCCAGATCTCAGTCCATGGATAAGAGAATATCATATTATTAAAAAATAAGTCAAATCAATTCAGTGAAATAAAAATTTCTTGTACACTACTAAATTTAAAGTATCAATTAGTTTAGTTATTTGGTATTATTTAAACAGCACTGAAGTAGATTTTCCTGAGGCATTGTATTATTTTTTTTATATTTTCTTAGTATTTAATAATTTTTAAGAAATTCTTTAAAAATCACTTTATTACATTGTGATGTTATCTTTAACCTTCTTCCCTGACTACAGAATGAAGAGTTCAGACATTAAAGCTTACAGTATTATACATTTTAATTTCACATGTGACATGAATATATTCTTCTAAATATTCACTGGATACAGAAATATCTTTGTTATGAGGAACAACCTAAGAAAACTTTACCCCTCCCCAAGCTATCCATAAAATTTTAAATCTATTTTTTACTGATGTCGGTATTCCAGTTTTAATTTTTTTCCATTTGTTTATTTTTTATGTTGACTTTTTATCTTTTTTCATGAAGATCCTTACATATGAGATATTTATTTTTTCATTTGCACTTATATTTTTCTTTATCATTTTCCATCTGTTAGCAATTGCATTTGAAACATCGACTTATAGGATTTATTGTTTTCAAAATAAACTTTCTTCTATGACAGTAAAATCTGTTTAGACTTACTGACATGACTAGTGACTTCCATCACAAACCTGTTTTCAATTTTCATTATTTTTTATTTCACTGATTGCCGATAGAACAGATGAATTAGGATAGGTGAAATGGAAGTTTGTACCTGATTCTACCACTAATCTCCTGAGTGACCCAGCTGAGTCACTTCAGAGATATTTGGCTATGATATAGAAATACCCACTGCCTTTCCTTTAATTACTTTGCAAGATAGATTTTTGTATTAGAGGTTTAGGAGTAGTTATTTTTGTTTTTTCTATTCGTGTAGTAGATAATGTAGAAAATGAAAATGCAGGTAAACAAAAATGATTAAACGTTTCATGAAATCTCAGTTCTATAAGATAGTCACAAGTAAGATTTTGACATATATTTTGAAGATATAGTTATATGTATATCATATAGATCCCCCAAAAGGTTATTTTTATAGTGTTATATGACTTGTTTTTTTAAAAAATTGTGGATATTGGGTAGGCTTATAGTATACTTGGTCTTAGCTATCTGAAGTAGAATTTAAAGATAAGTCTGTATACTTGAATAAGTGTTTTTAATATTTGAAACATTTAAAAAAATAACAGTGTATTTCATAGTCCTGTGGCTCAAACACTACTTTAGAGGGACTAGCTGAGTTATTTATAACAAATTATTAATAAATAATGTATTGTAATATATTTACAATGTGTAGGGCAGTTAAATCTTGAGACTCAAATTTCATAGGTATGTTTTTCCTCATGAGGAAATAGACTCTACATATATTATTTGTATTAATTTTCTTTGAGTTCTTGACTAAAATTTGATCAGTTTTCTTCTGAGTCAACTGGATAATGCCATGTGACATATTATGTGTTAATAAATACCAAAATTTTTAAAAGCTATAATTATATTCTTAAATTACACTTTTTTTGTGTCTTCATATTGTATAGGTGACTCCTCTCAAAAGTTTTTTTCTTCATTACCTTGTGGTGGACTTGGGGTAAGTATGAGTTTAAGTAACATAAACTTCTAAAAATATCTCCTTTGATTTATCTGTTCATGTATATTTAAACCTGTTTCTCAGTAAAAGTTATGCTGGAGTTCAGGATGGCTATGTTATTTGTAGAGCTTAGTGCCAAATGAAAGTGCAGACCTCTGTGTTCAAAAATTATTAAGAATTTCAACATGGTGAAAATAGTGAATTGAACCAAGTGTAGGGTTCTTCTGACTGTACGGTCCTGTGTGAAGCCACTTTGCTAGACTTTTATAAAACTGGAGAAAAGTTCGTAATGGACGGTTTAACACAGTTTTACAGCAGAGTTCAGTTTTCAGTAGGATCATACTGAGTATACACATTCATTATGTTTTTGGTGAAAGTGGCGTAAACTTCACAAAGCACTTGACATTGTGGGGCATTTTGTTTGTGAACCCCCGGGGCCGTTTTTGTCTTCAATAATTAATAAAGCCTTTTTGATCCAGGATATTTATACCACATTTCAAGGACAAATTTGTTCAAATTCAATGACATATGAAGAAAAATGTCTCCATTTTTGTGGATGATTAGAAAATACCCTATAACCTGCAATCTATTTAAAGTTAACCCTTACCAGTAACAAACCATCATCCTGTAGAATTGAGTGCTAAGTCATGTTAGGACAACATAATTCTAGATCAGATTTCCAAGGACTAAGGAATTTAAATCGGTTAGGTTTCTCAGATGTTGAAGGGGAATAACATAGCTAGTTTTGTGTATGTTTTAGGCAATAGTTTGCTATAACTAAATTTTATAGAGGGGAATCCCATATATTTTCATCTATAATTTTTATAATTTTGGTGATGCTGGATTTAGCAAGGATAATCTTTCTATTCTTTCACCTATGACTCTGCCCTCCAGAAATAGGAATGGCAACTACAACCAGTATCTATGTGGACTTTATAGTTTATCAGCATACAACTGAGGTTCTTAACAACTTTGTAAAATAGTCATTAACACCACTTTGTAGATGAGAACCTGAAAGCTCAGAAACATGAGGCTATTCTCCTGAAGCTACACATTAAAGGATGAAAGACTGAAAGTATGAGGTTGATGTGCATGTCCATGTGGAGGAGTTCCAAAGGAGTATTTTAGATCCTTCCAAGGCTTTCATCTTCAGTAGACCAGCTGCAGCCCCTGGAGCAGAGCACTGCAGCTGTGTGGCTAGTGTAGTGTGGTCCCCTTTGTGGCAGCTCACCAGTGAGCTATGCTTTTTCGCTCCCAGCATAGGACAGTCACCATCCCACATTAATCTGTGCTCATTTTTAGCAAACTTCCTGTGAAACCAGGAGCTTACAAAATCATTCTAGAAAGCAGAGGATAAACTGACTCTTAAAATGGGTTTCATTGGCTTTTGCACTTACTTTCTAACACCCCAAGTGGCCACGTTAAGAAAATGGCTGATTACCTGCAAATGAGGCAAAGAATGAAACAAAGCTAATGACTAGTCGGTGGGTATGGAGATAGGGAGGAAATCAAAGCTGTTAAAAGAGTGGTGGTCATCAAACCCCCACTCATTTACAGGTATATTTAATTCATGACCCAGAGTTGAAATGAGGTCAGCTCTCTAGGACCCACTTCCCAAGTCTAACCTCTGCTGTGCCCATAATTCACTCTCCCTTGAACACGAAGTACATTTACTCAACTGTGCTAAGCCCATACCAAGGTAATTTCTTATTCTTTAGCCAGAACTGCTCAAGTAAACTCTTAGAAGTGCCCAAGAAATGAATAGTGACTACTGCTTCTGGCACAGTGAGTGTCATAGAATAAAACTGACCTAATCTGGGTGGTGGCAGCAGTGGTAGTGTGTAAGTGTAGCTTGAGAAGCAGAGGCAGGAAGAGTAAGACCAGCTTAGTTTGACTCCATCACTGCTGGAAAGGGCTGGAGAGAGGTACCTCTGTTCGTTAAATTGGCTTATAGGTTTTCTGGTAGTGTTTATGTAGGTCTAGATGAATGTGTGTATGTGTGTGTATATCATACACTTGCTGATACCCTAGAGAACTAGCTTGATTCAGTGTTTTTTATATAGGAACTAAATTATGTTCTTAGACATTTAGGAACCATCTTGACTCTTAAGATCTCTGATTTTGACATAAGTCCTAAGAAAAACTATGGGTCCTCTGGGTTTCTATCAGTCTAAATTTTTACCTCCAGGACAACCCAAATATACAAAAGATACCCAATATGAACTTGGATTGGTCCAGCTAAGCAACGTGGGCACACTCCAGCAAGCTTAGAAACCACTGAAATTGCTTTTGTCTTAAGGCACTCTTCTGGCTAATATTATATAAGATGGACCCATTGGTTTAAATTCCAAAAGGCTCCCCAGTTGTTAAGATAAACCCCAGTTACCTGGAATATATACTTTTCTACTAGATGGGTTTAATTTATACCTGCTGAATGTTGATGTATGAATTGGCTTTTGAGGGGTGTACGTGGGACATCATGAAATTAAAAACTCTCTACTTCTCATTAAATTTCCCCCTAAAATTGTATGCGATAATTCGACAGTGTGTTGGTCAAGTAGTTCAATGGATGAATGGTATTTAAGGTCCTTTCAAGTGTGCTCTCCAAAATTGCGTTTTGAGTAACAGCCTCAAGGTTTCCAAATTCCTTTGTGTTTGGTTCTCATTTTGTTTTAGTTACTATGGCATGACTCATTTCTGATTACTGTGTGATTGCACTACAAGAAAATGCACCAATTGAAAAGAACATTTTACCAAATCCCAGGACTTGGTCATCATACAGTGAAACAGATAATTAAGGGACT